CGGTTTGTAGCGAGGCAACTCGAGATGCATCCCACCATGCTTGGCTCGACGTGTGTCAAGGACGCCATGTTGTCGCAACCAATGGCTATGAGTGTATTACTGTAACCAACGTAAAAAGGGCTCCCCGTCAAATTCAAGAGTGATCTAGACTCTTGTTCTTCGTCGTCGTCGCTTGAGCATCCTTTTGAAGTTATCGGGTTTTTTATGCGAACTGAACCGTACGAGAGTGGAGCGGAACCCCAACTGAATTCACCCGGAAGAGAGATTTTCACAACTTCCTTGCTAACTACGGAAAGAAAAGGGACGAGCTTCTCTGAAACAGAGGTACAATTAATTTCGTACCATTTCTCGAGATAGCAGCCTTTTCCGATTCCAAATGGGTACGGTATCTCGATTCCTCCACATTCACTTGGACAAGACTTCAAAGCAGTGAGAGCGGCTGAATCAAAGATCAACGAAAGTAGAAGAGAGAACAGAATCAAAAGAGAAAAACTTTTATTAGAGCTCATGTTTATCATCTGCTCAAGAATATATTTCTTCTTTTTCTTTAGTGTTTCCTTTTGTAAAATGCAGAGACAGAGTGGGTTTATAAGGTATTTGTGAGGGAAAAGTTGCGTTTACTTGGAAACAAAACAGGTCTCTTTTTCGATCAAATCAAGTCGATTCTATTCTATGTCGAGCTAACGATGTTCTGTTTTCCATCACGTGAAGCTCTGTGTTTCTATTTTTTTGTATCAAATAAAATGTAAAGTTTAGATAATTACCCATCAACAAAAAGTAACAAAGACAAGTCATGTTTTTTCCCCACCAATATAAAAGTGGAAAACATATATAGTGGACTGATCAAGTCAAGTCTCCGGAAACAATCCAAAAATCTGAATGCATACGTGTTACGTCTACGGTTTCATGTAATTTGCATGAAAATATATGAATTATTTATTGTCATCATAACTTATTAAAGCAGAGTTTCAAAAAAAAAACTTAAAGCACAGATAACCTGAGTTCTGATTTTTTTTTTTTTTGCTCTAGTGTTGGTTTAATAGCAATCCCTTTTTACACGGTTACATTTTGGATACTGTCTAGATCGCTTGTGAGCAAGGGTGGTTTCCAGCAGTTGTTCTTTGTGCAGAGGCCTAAACCTTAATCAAGCAATAAGTCTTTAAGTCTTGGTCTTGAGTTTTCGCTTTTCTCAAATCTCAATCAAAAGAATTACAAGGATTAAGGCAAGAGGCAGAGTAATTCACACTTCATATATGCTTATCTTATCTTCACTACTACTTTTATTTTTGTAGGGTTAATGAAACCATGTCACATCTTCAATCTTTTGAATTTTCTTCCTCCATTATTTTTACGAGAACAGTAAAAAGAAAAAAGTTCGACAATTCCAAAATTGAATACTACACAATTATATACCTTCACACACAAACAACCAAACCTAATAGTGACAAGTTGCGTCGTTTTCAGACAAGTTGCGTCGTTTTCAGACAAGTTGCGTCGTTTCCATGACAGACACAGTGATGAAAATACTTATGAAGCTGAAACTATGGAATTGTTGCTAAAAACTTCTGTGATAAAAAAAAATGAAAATTTTCTTATTGTACTGGGAAATGTATATGAGTATACAGAGTGGATACAAACAGATTCGCTATTACACATTTGGAGACCTTTAATAAAAATAAACACAACACATTGAGATCGAACGTGAAAGCAAAGACCTGAGTCGTTGAAGTTTTAGCGTGTTTGAAGAGGAAACAAAGGTTCAACATCTGACCATGACAAAGAAGATGCAGCAACAACATATTGAGAAGCTGGAGCGGTAACAATCGAGTTGTAGTTCCTTGATTCTTCCCCAATTTTAATCTCCACGACTCCATCGTCTTTTTCGTCGTCCTCGTTTTCGCTAACATACTCATGTGGCTGGATATCTCCGAGAGACGAACGAATCTTCTCCAATTCCATCGACACTTCTCTCATACTTGGTCGTTTCCTCCCTTTCAAATTCAGACACTTTCTCGCAATTTTCGCCACTGCGGTTACTTGATTCAGCTTGCAACCATCTCTTATTCGCGCATCGATAATGTCGGAAAGTCTATTCTCTTTCACAGCAAGAATGAAATAAGTTGCCAAGGTCCTGTTTTCTTGAGACCGCAAGAAAGAAATAGACTTTTCTCCAGTGATTAACTCTGCTAGCACAACCCCGAAGCTATAGACATCACTCTTCGCTGTGAACTGGCTTGACTGGAAGTACTCTGGATCCACATATCCCACCGTGCCTGAAACTACTGTTGTCAAGTGTGTATGATCCACCGTTACCGATCTTGAAGTTCCAAAATCAGATACCTTGGCCCGGTACTTCTCATCCAACATTATGTTTGTAGACTTGACATCTCTGTGATAGATTGGAGACGATGCAGAGGAGTGCAAGTATGAGAGAGCTCCTGCGATATCTACAGCAATGCGAAGGCGCACTTCCCAAGTAGCCATCGTGTTATCATCAAACTCATCATGAAGAAGTTCGAAAAGGTTACCGTTAGGAATAAACTCGTAGACAAGAACAGGGACATCTGTCTCCAGACAACATCCCAAGAGTTTCACGATGTTCCTGTGGTTGATTTGCGAAAGAATGACAACTTCATTGATGAACTCTTCCAATTTGTCTTCGTCAACGACTTTGGACTTCTTCACTGCTACAATTCTACCATCGACAAGCATTCCTTTGTATACCGTACCTTGACCACCTTGGCCAAGAATTCTATTTATGCTAAAGTTTTCGGTAGCTTTCTCCAACTCTCTTGAGCTGAACACTTTTGTCTTCTCAATATTGCCTTCCGTTGAAGTCAATTGTTGCTGCAATAATAGACCTCCGTTACGTTTGAAGAACTTCTTCTTTTGACGTAACCTCATTTGCTTTCTAATAAATTTGTATAACCAAAACATTCCAGTAATAAAAATCAATGAGCCGAAACTCGAACCAATCCCTACAAAAACGATAAAAGAAAAATGAAAACCAAAATACTCTTTAATAAATCCTTTGCGACTGTATTTGGGATTCCACCGTTACCTATTGCAATTACGGGATTTGTGCGATTTGTGGGATTTGTTGTGGGATTTGTTTCCACACAAGTATGGCCTCCCTGCAAATTCACACACGTGCTTCCTCCCGGACACGGTAAGGAAGAGTAGTACTCTTGTTCTAGGCATTCATTAATATCTGGTTTTTTTTAAAAAAAATTGTAATCAACGATGATGGTTCCCATAGGTTTACTTTGATCATGGTTATAATAAAATATACAGTATCAAGTATAAACACAATTATTACTAACCTTCACATCCGCCTGGAACGTATGGGTTACCTTTGTAACCCGGATAGCATGAGCATCTTGCATAGCTTGAATTAGAATTGTAGTCACAGAAACAACTTCTTCTTTCCGAAGTTTGATTATTTTCCGAAGTTTGACAACCCAAAGAACCTATGAATGAAAGATTCGTTGTACGGATGAACCATCTTAGCTCAACCGTAGCATATCCTTTTGCATGAAGCCCTTGCGGATCCCATGCATATGAATAAATGTATGCATCGTCGGTTAAAAAGGCGACTTTGCAACCTCCCCTTGTTGTGTTGCTATCATCTATCTTGACACCAACAATCTGTTGAATCGTTTCTGGCATGTTTGCCGTGCAGCACCCAGTACCATTGCAGTCTTGTCTGGTATAAAAGCTTCTTTCATTACAAGCGTTGAAGCCAGATTCATGACACATGACTTCCTTGAGAAAGTCTTTTGTATGGTCTTCTTCGCCGCAACTAGACTTGCATCCCACCATGCTTGGCTCAACATTTGTCAATAACGCCGTGTTGTTGCAACCTGATGCTATAAATATATTGTTGCGGCTAACGTAAAAAGGAGTGCCCGTCAAATCCAAAAGTGATTCAGGATCTTCTCCGTCTCTCGAACACCCTTTTGAAGCTATTTGGTTTTTTATGCGAACTGAGTTCGTTGAATACTCGTGTTGCCCCTGACGAGAGATATTCACAACTTCTCTGCTAATTACGGGAAGAAAAGGGACGAGTTTCCCTGAAGCAGAGCTATTAACACATTTAATTTCGTACCACTTGTCGAGATAGCAACCCTTTCCAACTCCAAAGGGATACAGGATCTCGATTCCTCCACACTCTTTTGGACAAGACTTCAAAACTGTGAGATCTGCAGAATCAAGGAT